TGAAATTCGATAAATTATGTACAGCTCTATTTGAAGAAATCGACCTACGCATAGCTAGGAGTGGGGTGATAGGAGGGGGTGGGAGCCGGTTGGTAGGAGCGAGAAGGGGCAGGTTGGTAAGCAGGGTATTGGGCCTCTCCTTCGTATGTAACTTCAGCCACGTATCCGGAGTCGCCGTTCACGGTGTAGGCAACCCTCTGCACACGGCCGTCGGGAAGGAGAACGTAGTAAGCTCCCTGAGTATCGTAGCCATTACGATTTTCTTGGTGATTGTAGTCGTTTCCAGAGTAGTCGTCCTTCACTGCATAGTTGAAGTCGTACTGAGCTGGCCCCTTTTATGAGAAAATTTGTATGATATTTTTAAAAAATGAATGGCTGACAGTAGCGCAATTTCTCTTAATTGTGAATCCCCATGCCTCCATGTGGAATTGTAAAGTTTACAAATGATTACAGATTTACTATGATAAAAATATAATAATTCAATCTAATAATAAATGCAGTTATTGTTACTATTATGATCATTAATTTTAATAATTATTAGTCATATATCGATCAAAAGTTTATAATATAGTTGCCAATAGTGTATCCCACAATTTAGAAAAATATAATAGTTTATCTTTGCACTCTTCTGGCACTATGATTGAATTACTCAGTTCATGTACCCTAGAAGTAACTGGAGATATCCCAGCGCTCGAGACCCTTAGCTTTGGCTCACTACACAGAGAAATTATACAGTGTTTACAGACTTACCGAAGGGGCAGGAGCATTGTAGGAGGGGGCAGGAGCACTGTATCTTGGGGCTGGGGCATGGTAGGAAGGGGCAGGAGTATTGTATGATGGAATTGTGCTACCAAAGGCAACTGCTACCATGGCAAATAGTACGAAAATCTGTCGAACAAATAAAGCGTTAATTAGATTTTCCTACTTAGTTTATATATGTGTGTCTGTGTGTGTATTCATATATACATATGTATATATATATGTATATATATGCACATGTGTGTGTAATATAAAATATATATATATAATATATATATATATATATATATATATATATATATATATAATAATCGTGGTAACCAGCTATACTTCCGCCATTGTGTACCTGAAGAGACATGGCAGAGGCGCTGAGGAGAGAACCTAGTGTGATGATGGGCGGTAGCCTGACTGACTTTATAGGCGGAA